TTTTGAAATAATTTGTGCCTTAACAATGAGGTCCTACATTAAACATACCATATATGAGAAATTCAGTCTTCCACTGTCACTTTTTATATAGATATTAAAATATATTACTTAATATATATTAATTATATATAAATTAATTAATATATTACTGGAAAGATATTTTAATATTTATCTTTAATAGTTGTATCAAATGTAAAGCATTAAAAAAAATAAAGTAACCAAGACTCTATGAAGCTCTTGCTTCAACTTTAGGAAATGTCTACCTACTGTCTTGTTCGTTAGGTTGTAGGTATTGAAACACATAGGAAAAGGTCCCTGCCTGTCACCATGTTTCGCAAAGTCTCTTTGGACTGTTCTATATGTTGAGCTGCAAACTACCCACGGCCAAGTTCCCCACTTAGTACACATTGCTGTAATGCAACGGGAAGCTTCCTTGTTCTGTGACGCCAGAGAGAAAACAACGGGCAATGAGCTCCGAACAAATGTGACCACGGTGAAGCCCTCTAACAACCCTTTAACCAAAGAGCTCATGAAGGTTTTCTACCGTGGAGAGCAGTGCGGAGCAAATAGAACGGTAACTGATGGGCCTGCTCCGTGTGGGACAGCGTACCTTCACCTGGAAGGCAGTGAGGTCTTCCTTTGCTGTTAATCCACATTTGAGATACTCTCTCAAATACCCACATCTCTACACCCAGGGAAATGCAGCCTTCCCACTCCAAGAAAAGCTCCATTTGCCAGCTCTATCTCTTAAGAAATGCCACAGAGAACCCTGGAGGCAGCCTCAGTGTCTTGAGCACAGGGGTTGAGTAACTGAAGCAGGACAAACAACTCCGTGTTATTTGTGCTCCCCTTAAATTAATGGGATAAAGAATTCTGATTATTAAAAAAAATCCTTTATGATTCAGGGAGTGTTCATCTTAGGTAACTCAGAACACTTATAAATTATCCTGAGAAGATGCATCGTGAATACTCTCCCAGAGGTGACTTGCAGAAGTGATTTAAGGCTAGAGAGGGCATACTGGTATGTGTATCAGGTGTGATATTGAAAACCTCACTGGAAATTGCCCAAATAAGAAACTAAACATTGAACCATTTCATGTTAACTGAAAGGTTAAAAAAAATAGCAAAAAGTTACGATTAAAAATGTGTTAACATGTACTGGAGTACCAAATTCAACTTAAAGGGCCAGACTCAACTATTTGTTTTCCTGTTCATTTATGAGTGTTCCTCTTCCATCTGAAACCATGTTTTAAAACAAACCATTTAAACAGATTCATATTTAATATATTTTCAATATAAGAAAAAAATCCGTTTTTGTCAAGTCTGAGGCAGTGTACCTAGCTGGCGAGTTGTTTTTGGAATAGGAGGAGGGAAATTAGTCACTTAGTGGAGTCAGGTGAAGAGCAAGACTTTGGGTTGAGGTAAGAGGAACACTGTGGTCTTTAGATGGACCTGACAGTCTCTAATGCCTCGCTCCTGCCCACCCAGTCCCAGATTAAGGAAACCAGGGAACAAAATCTTCCTAGTAAGCAAGGTAGAAAGTAGAAAAAATTTCACCAATACAAACTCGCCCCTGACTGTGAGCATGAGGTCCATTCTGAATCACTCACCCTCTTCCAGGATAAGACAAGGAGACTACTTAGGTAAGGGTCTTTGGAGGTCCCATGGGGACCACCCATGGTCCTGAAGGTTTGGGACCTGAACCCTGGCTTCTGTTTCCTACTCGTCCTTCACAACATACGCACTTAACCCTGAATCCCTGCAGCCTCTCTTTCCCACTAGCCGTGCATTTACTGGAATGAAGGGAAGGTGGAAAGACATCATACCGTCTTGCCTGGTTCTGGAACACAGGATGTAACTGTTTAGGGCCACGAGAGCAGGAAAAGTGAGTTTCACAGAGTTTAGAGCAAAGACTGAGGAAGCACATGTGTGTGATGGCCAGGGGTGAGCACCACATGGCAGGCAAGACACATTCCTGTCTCCTTCCTGTGATGTATAATCAGTTAAATTGTCCTGAGTTTTATAGCTTTTGAAACTATACGGGGTTGCAATATTACAGCATCACACACTTCATTCACATTAAGAGACTTGAAATCAATCGATACAGACTATTTGATATTAGAATATCAGAAAAACTCTGTCTTAAACCGTCTTTAACAGTGATTTAAGTAGTATTTGCTTAAAGTTTGTCACTAGTTCTTTAATTTGTTTTAAAGACAGTGTTTGTGTGCCATGAACTTGCTTCCGAGCACATTGGCTGTTAACTCACTGAGACCCGTCTGACTCCCAAGCACTGAGATTTGAAATGTGTATCACCACGTCCACTGACTAGAAGAGTTTTATTTTTGTTTTGTTCTTTTTAAAAACAGATTTGCTTTATTTATTCACTTATATTTTTGGAGACAGGGTTTCTTTATATCCTGTCCTGAAACTCATTATGAAGACCAGATTGGCATTGAACTCAGAGATCAGTACGCCCCTGAATCCAGGGTGCTGGGAAAAGGATTTTTCAAGACCAGCCTGGTCTACAGAGCTAGTTCCAGGACAGGCTCCAAAGCCACAGAGAAACCCTGTCTCGAAAAACCAAAAAAAAAAAAAAAAGAAAAAAAAGAAAAGAAAAAAAACCCTGAAATTCCACAGCCAGGTATTTGATCAGTCACTTATAACGCCCTTTCACGTCAGGCATCCTTGCTGTCCAGACAGCAGAAACAGCAAACTGTCTTCTTCCTCTGTATGAGTGCAAACATGTGGTGTGGTAGGATGGCAAAGATCACTGCATCACCATCTCATGCCTGGGATGTCAAAGCAGAAAAGAGGTTACCACCAAAGAGCGTTTCTACTGGAATTGTTTGAGATAGAGGAAAGGAAAATATTTTGTGTCCAGTGTTAAAATCACTCTTTCAAAGTCCTGAAGTTTCAGTTAAGTTTCTTCAGTTTCATTCCTTTGCCAACAGACACACAGTTCTCTTTCTCACACACACACACACACACACACACACACACACACACACACACCCCCACACACCCCAATCACTAATGCTTGTGTGCATTTTATTTTACACTGCTATTTCAGACCTGTTTGTGGGAGCCCATGAATGATGCAGTATCAGGATGTATTATTGCTGGAACTAATGCCATGCACAGATTAGGCTAATAGACGAGTCCCTTGGAGGCGGACCCTTCTTAAATAACATTCCCGGACTAGGAAACACTCTGCTTGACAATAGTACTGATTCATGGAAGGCAAAAGCTAAGTCTGGACTGTCAGGATCAAAAACACTGGGATGTGAATACTTTTTAAAAACCCCACTTGAAATGGTTCCATCTAAAGTAAAGGGATGAGTAAACCCGAAATCTAAACCCCACCAAGGCATCTGTGGAGAACCTGCAGCCAGCCTGTGAAGACATAATCAGCATGATGGTCGCTTCCTGACCATTCTCCCTCTCCCCGCCCTAGGAAAGGTCAGAGGCAGAGAGTTTCCTTTCACCATGCATACCACTCAACTATTTTCAGAGTCAAAAGAAATGGAACATAAATCTGAATGTGAAGTTAACACATCATTACCTAAATTCTTGGAAAACAATGTTAAAACAAAATGTGACATATTTACATGATTTTTTAAGTGCAAACTTGTCACCAACTCATAGTCCTCCTCGACTCACACTTACTATACAAGGTGCGCTTCCTGTCAATCTGAAGACCTGTATTCTGCATTCCTGATTAATGTCTCTTGAGACAACTCAAACTTTATTTCTGTGATTTCAAAAGGGTGCAAGAATACGTCTTGTTAAGCCTCCCCTTCCCTCTTTACATTTGCTGTAGGTCTTATTATCGGACGACGAGGCAGGAGACACACAGTTTGGAGGGCCCAATGCAATCATCATGACAGAAAGCTCCACATCCCTTGCACATGATCATGGCTTTCAACCGGCAGTAACATTTCGAAGGTGCGTCCTCAATGCTGTTCTCATCAGGAAAGGCCTGAACAGGAAGTGTCTGGCCGTGGCTGCTGGGATTCATAGCTTGGCTAGCAGGGATGGTCGTGACAGTCACTGAAAATGACATAACATCCCCTACATTGCTAGATACCTGACTACCTGGTGGAGCAGAGCTATGGTCCATGTCTGATGAGGTTGAGACATTGATCATGCCTCTATAGCTTGGCCCTATCTGTGTGGGGCTTCCATACAATTTGGGGGTTTGCAGTGGTGGAAGGAGTAGAGGCTGGTGTGTGGGACTGTCTGCAGGGAGAGAAAGAGCAGTAGAATTGAAAATTTCGGGGCTGCTACATACTGTCTTACCTCTCACACTATGAGCCATTTGTTTATGTGCTGCCTGAATAAAATCTCTGGGTAGGGTCTTTTCATCAAATGTTTGGCCTCTAGAGAATATGCAATTCTCCTTGCCTGCAGTGGTTTGCTCACTCATCGGTGCCTCAGCCTTACCATTCTTGCTAGCTAAACAATCAATGGTGGATGGAGTTTCCCCACTGTGGAGATGCTTGCCAGAACTCTGAGAAGCCCAGGGCTCCTCCTTCACAGACACAGGCTCTTTCTCATCTCCCACACTCTCTTCATCAGTTTCATCGTCTTTGCTGCTGCTGCTGCTGTCTCCAGTTGTGTTTTTACAATCTGCATAGCCCATTCTCAAGTTTTCAGTGGGACTACTTAGACAAAATCGTTCCTCAGGATTTACAGAATGGGTCCTCCTAACACTCTCTGACACCCGGCCATAGGTGGAAATATTAAGTAAATAGTGACCTGCCATTGCAGGCTTGGATGTCCTCCTGCCAGCAAAGCCCAGCATAAATTTCTGCCTTGTGGATATGTCTTCCAATTGGAAACCTGAGTGAGCAAAGTTGAACTGAGAGGGTGGCACAAATGAGAGAACGCTCTGTCTCTGAGTCCTCTGGATGAGAGTCTGAAAAAGCTGATCTTGAGTTGTTTTACTTAGTCCTTCTGGGTACTGGTGAGTGTCACTGCAAGAGTCCTTAGCTTCGAAGACTGGCCTAGGGACCTGGGGAAGCTGCTTACTCTGCAAGGGTTTCCCCAGTTGCTGGAGAGCCAGATAGGCCTGCCTGCCATTAACTTCCTCTCTGGTGCTGCCTTCCATCACACTGGAACCAGGGAATGCTCCTACCCCCTTCTCCTCTTTCGTAGTCAGTGGGACTGTTTTCATTTCAACTTTGGTGAGAGGTTTAGGCAGAATTTGCTCCATGGGAACATCTTTGCCCTGAAGCAGCTGAGTAACTAAAGGGTTATTAGCAGGGATACTAGAACTTGGTCTTGAAATGGGTCCGTTCATATTTGCAGAAGTTCCTGGGGATTTAAGGCTAGAAGCTGCTGGCAAGGTGCTTGAGGATGAAGCTGATCCAGTAGATGCTGCAGTTCCACTGACTGGGGGTACAGAGAGTTTTTCTAAACTGGCTGTTGTCAATAAGGATGTTGCAGAGGGGGAAGTCATATCCAGTCGAGCAGAACCAGCTACCTTTGCTGAGGCTGAAGGCTTTGGTGCATTCTTATTAGAACCTGCTTTGTGTTCAACTGTGCCATCAGCTACAAAGCAAACAGGTGAAGCCGTTGAGATGAGAGCAGGCCCTTCTGGAGAAGGAGCTTTTTCCTGTCTGTAACTACTCAGGTCTTGTGAGTGGCAAGGAGAGGCTGCTGTGGCTGCTGCCTGGTGGGGGTTCAGTTTCCCACTGTTTAGTTTCTCTATGTGGGCTGGTAATGGGAGGCTTGTGCATGCTCCACTGATGGTGTGTGCTGTAGGCACTGAGGAGGTTTGCTGTAATTGTGCTCCAGAGACACCAGGAGGCTGGGACTCAGCCTGGGGACCACAGGGTAAAAGCTCTCGCATACCTCCCCTGCTTCCAGTTCCTGCCAGCTCCAGTGTGGGACCCTTTCCAGTTGCGCTGACTCTGTCTGAGCCAGGACTCCCTCCTGCACCAGTTTTCCTTTCGCCACCCTCTCTTGGACTGTGTCCACCCCCAGGGCCAGGTCCTGGAATGGTCCCTCCAACTGAGGCGGCTGCAGCAGCTGCAGCGGCTGCAGCAGCTGCTGCCCTCTGTGCTTTGACCAACTGGGCTTTTGCTTTGATGTCTGCAAGAGTTCTGGCTCCTGTTCTGTAAGGACTAGTGATGGAGATTGGAAAACGAGCCCTGGGAGAGACCTGCGATGTAGAAAACAGCATCGGGGAGATTCTGGAGACCGGGATCTGAAAAAATGAGGTGGGGGAGCCGAGATCAATTTCAGCTCTGACTAGAGCAGATGAACACAATGCACCCACAACACACACACTTGCTCTAAGACTAAGAATACACACTGTGTTCAGCATTCGATCCCACTGTCTACCCACATAATGGGTCACATACATAATAGCTCCTAAGCATTTTCGCCCTTACTGAATACTGTACTTATTTGTGTAAACTTTTTAACACCCCCATTTATGAATCAGAACAGCCAGAAAAATGAGTATTATACTAAAGAAAAATAATAAACTACTAACTTTGAAAATTCTTCAATCACAAATAATTGTGAAATCACTATTTTTCATTACTCAAAGTCCTAAGTATTTAAAATCAATTCTCTATACATCAGAAATCAGGGTGGTATAATAGTTGTGATAAATTCATGTACTTAAGAAGTACATTTGTGGGGCTGCAGAGATAGTTAAGAGCACTTGTTCTTACAAAAGAACCTGAGTTCAGTTTCCAGAACACATATAATGGCTCATAACCACCTGGAACTCCAATTCCATGGGATCCACCAAGCACACACATGATGCACATACCTGCATTCAAGTAAAGCATTCAAACGAAGTAGATAAATAAATCTTAAACACACACACACACACACACACACACACACACAAAAACACACCACTAAGGTTATTTAGCGAGGTGGTAGTGGCGCACAGCTTTAACCCCAAGAGTTGAGAGGCAGAAGCAGTAGCATTTTTTAGTGAAACCAGCATTGTCTACAGAGTAAGTAACAGGATGGCCAGTGAGTTCCAGACAAGGACTTTTGAAACCCTGACTCAAAAACAACAAAGTTTGTTTAATACTTAGTTGTATAAACTTAGGCAACATTTTTTGCCTAAGTAGTTTAGAAGTTCCATGGAGTAGAAAGAAGCAATTACTGCCTCTTGTTATATAAAGAACAGACTACAGGAGAAAACAGAAAAACTAGAAAACAAAACCCAAGAAATTTGTTTTGGGGACAGACAACCTTGTATAGGTAATCCAAAAGTAAGAACTTGGAGCAACCTCTAGTACTAGGCAGAAAGTTTAGGCGGGGTGACCAGAACAGAATTCTGCAGTCATCACCCAGGGGCAGAGGAAGCAAGATGAGAATGCCTCTCTGATAAAAGGTCATGTGGCTAACACAGACAAGAATTATGGGTTAATTTAAGATAGTTAATAAGAAGCCTAAGCTAATAGGTCAACCAGTTTATAATTAATGTAGGCTTCTGTGTTTCTTTGGAACCAAATGGCTGAGGGACCAGGTGGGAAAAAAACCTCTGTCAACAGGCAAAAGGTAGTCAGGATTATTTAAGTTAAGAAAAGCTGGCAAGAAACAAGCCAAGGTAAGGCTGGGCATTCAGAAGCAATATAATAACCCTCCCGAGTGTGTGATTTACTTGGGAGCTGGGTGGCAGGCCCCTCAAAAAAGAAGAAAGCAAAAAGAGAAAAATATAATACAACAGGAGGTGGTGGCACTAGGGAAGCAGAGGCAGGCAGATCTCTATGAGTTCAAGGCTAGTCTGGTCTACAGAACTAGTTCCAGCACAGCTAGGGATACACAAAAAAAAACCTGCAAAAACAAAACAAAAACAAACAAAAGAAAGATTGAGAATTCAATGCCAGCCTGACTTAGAAATCGAGACTTTGCTGGGCTGGCTTACATACTCAAGACTCTTTTCAAATATCAAGAACTGGAGGGATACAGTTCTATAGCCTGATTATTACTATTTCTATAATACCACTGTTACGTGTATATTAAACATATGCTACTGTGTTTATGTTAATACCATACGTCATGAAACTTAAAGAGTACAACCACTTTCTTACCTTGAGAGGTGGTACTTTTCGCACCTGTCCCCTGTCCCCTCTATTAAGAAAGGGCTGTGGCGAGACCTGAAATGGCTGCTGGTGATGGTGGTCTTCAGTGATGCGTGGTCTTTTCTCCCAGCTGCTAGCAGCCTCTTCTTGGGAAAGAGAAGATTTCCTTTTCAGACTTTCTGGGATCTGATCAGCAAGAGACGTTGGAGATATCTTTACATCTGGGTCCAGTGGACCAGCTTCTGCCACAGGCTTTGTTATAGGCTTTTCTAACCCAGAAGTTTTAGATTTGCTTGGGGATGTAGCTTCTTGGTTCTCACTTTTGTTATAATTAGAAGTTGTGGTGGCTTGATTTTCTTTCTCAGACTCTTGTTCAGCACAGACAACATGCTTCTGCTCTAAGAGTCCCTCATCTTTAGGGCACTTGACGGACGTCATGGTGATAAGCTCATTTGTATTGCTGGCTGACGCAAGGATGGGTTCTGGGGATGCAGAATTTGGCTGTGCCTCCTCTTGGTTTTCTACTTCTTTTCTGAATGGTGATGGTATTTGCACTGCTTCTTCTTTACACTCTGAATGGGAAACAACTGGGAAGTTTCTGGCAGGAGAGGCCTCTGAAGGAAATATGGATTTTGGTTGCTCAGCAGGGATTTTCTTTACTTTGGAATCACTAGGGGAAGCTGTCAGTTTCTGTGAATCTTCAAGGCTTAAGCCAGAACTGAAAAATTGAAGGAAATGTTGTTATATGAAAAATAGTCCACATTACTTAATAAACAAGAAAAGTAGATCATGTCAGTTTAGGAACCCCCTGACACAGAATTTTCTGTAGAACTCTTAAGCCAAAGTAACTAAATTCAAATCCTGGTTCTGGTAATAGTTGTGGACAAGGTACTAAATGACTAGGCTTCTGCACCTTTGTTTACTTGTATACCAGAATTAAAAATTTCCAAACTGCAATGATGAAGTTACTCCGTGTGACGTTCTCACTTGGCACACAAGGAAAACTCTATAGTAGGAACTGCTGTTGTCACTTCTGCTTATATAGGAGCCATATCATCTACAGACTCACGGGCTACCTACAAGAACCTAAAGAAAGACTGAGAACTGAGCTTATAGGAAGCCTGTTTAAACTGCACTCAATCTAGATCCAAAGATCTGAGGTTGCATGCTGCTGAACTATCCACAGGTAAAGGTCAGCTGTGATTTACACAGGGTGGTCTGCCAAAAAAGTGCCACCAATAACTGTTCTTAATGTTCTTTCCTTTTTTTAAGCAACGACCAATTAAACCCTGTTGCTTTAATAGAATCAGTAATAAAAAAAATTACTGATTAGTCTATCTAGGGTCAGCAAGATGCCTCAGAAGAAGAAAGTGCTTCCCTGATCACCTAGGTTCTAACAAGGGAGCTCATGCCTATGAAGAGAGTCAACTCCCAAACTCTTCTGCCCTCCAAGAGCACACATTGCAGCACATGTACTCGCAGACTCACTATAACTTATAACCAGCTTTATAGCTTAATCCTGAAAAGTCAGCATTTGAGACAGGGTTTTTTCTCTATGTAGCCCTGGCTGCCCTTAAGTTTGTAGACCAGGCTGGCCTCGAACTCAGAGATCTGCCTGCCTCTGCCTCCCCCCCCCCAATGCTGGGATTAAAGGCATGTGCCAACACTGACTGGCCAGCTCAGTAGGGAGTCTATCTTAAATGATTAGGAAGGAGAGGGATCAATGAGCTAAGAAAAAGTACTTATTTCTCAGTCTGTGAACAGTGAAGTTCTCTCGCTGGCTTTTACTGGATGTAGAAGGAAGCAAGGGAGACTAACAAACAGGAGTTGGACTATGCAATCCTATTCAAACCAAATGGCTCTATTGTCTACTAAATGTCTCCAGTACAATTTCATTATGATTAGACAGCGTTTCTCGGTGTAGCCTTAACTATCCTGGAACTCACCCTGTAGGCCAGAGTGATCTTCAATTCACAGAGATCCTCCTGCCTCTGCCTCCCAAGTGCTAAGACTCAAGGTGTACACCACCACCAAGCTAGACTTTCTAATAAGGTAAAAAAGCGGAGACATCACATTACACGTGTAGGAATTAATATGTGGATTACAGAGACTGCCTTATCTTACCTCTGACCATAGTAGCTTTCAAAGAATTGTTCCTTCCATGGCTCTACCTTCTTTTCCTTCTCAATCTCTTGACGAATTCTCACCTGCATTTCAGGAGTAAATTCACCTGCAATGTATTAACAAAATGACATAAACAGAAGAGTATTATTCATGAATTTTAATCATGAAAGACTCTTATAGGAACAAAATACTATCATGTCAAAGCAACAAGCTTCCCAAAGAACTTAGACAGACAGGAGACACCACTACTAGGTGACATCTGGTACAGTCACATACTACCCTTAAGTTTTCTATATGCAGCTAAAGCCCACTGCGCTTGCTCTCCAGGTGTTCCCCCAAAGTGCCTTTTTCCAGTTACAAACATCATATTTCACACAGATTTCCTTTCACCTCTAATTTCAAGTTTGTAGTTTATTTCCCAATAGAATGAAAGTAATGAATGTGTGTTGAATTCATGTGAGGAGAATTCTGGGTGCTTGTGCAAAAACTATTCTTGTTATTTGTTTACACACCTCTATGGGAAAACATGGTTTTATATATTTGGCTGGCCTGCTATGTGCAGCCTGCCATTGTGGTTCGACATTTTAATCATGTGACTCCGCTTACCCCTCAAAATATAAACTGGTGCTCACTAAAGTTGGCTGTTGCATGAGACTTCAGTCTGCCTCATTTTTCAGCACCATCCTCCCACGTCCCACCACCAACCAGTAGTGACAAATGTGCTATCCATAAATAATGCCATGGAATAGCGCTGTCTTAAAGTTAGGCTTCTTCAAAGTAAACTCGTTTGAGTACTTTACTTTCATTACTTTTTTTTCCCTTTGAGACAAGGTTCTCTGTATAACCTTGGCTCTCTTGGAACTCTCTCTCTATAGACTCGGCTGGTGATGTTTGATTCCCCTCTGTATGCTGTGAATGACACTGGTTAATAAACTGCCTTGGCCTGTTAATAGGGTAGAATAGAGGTAGGCAGGGAAAACTAAACTGAATTCTGGGAGAAAGAAGGAGGAGTTAGGAGAAGCCATGTAGCCCCACTAGAGACAGATGCCGGAACTTTAGCCAGTAAGCCACAGCCACGTGGCAATACACAGATTAATAGAAATGGGTTAAGATGTAAGAGTTAGCCAATAAAAAGATAGAGCTAATGGGCCAAGCAGTGTTTTAAATATAGTTTCTGTGTGATTATTTCAGAGCTGAGCAGCCAGAAACCAACAAGCAGCCTCATCCACCAGGCTGGCCTCAAAGTCACAGATATCTGCCTGCTTCTGTCTCGAGATGTGAGCTCTCACCGTGCCCGCCTGCTCCCAGGCATGATGTTCACAGACCTGAAGCTGAAAGCAAGGCACCAATTAAATGCTTTTTTGTATAAGATGTCTTGGTCAGCTGGGCTGTGGTGGCACACCTTTAATCCCAGCACTTGGAAGGCAAGAGGCAGGTGGAGAGTTCGAGGACAACCTGGTCTACAGATTGAGTTCTAGGACAGGTTCCAAAGCTATAGAGAAACCATGTTGAAACAAGGAAGGGAGGGAGGGAGGGAGGGGATAGATGATTTGGTCATGATTTTTTGTCAGGCATTAGAAAAGTAACAAAGACAATAATGACAGACATCACACATTCTAAGATCAATGATCGGTAACACACAGAATACTCAAAACAGTAACTTTTAAAATATTCTATTATTGCCTTCAGTAAATCTGTTAAACCAGACATACAAGGACAAGTGACCAAGACAAGTAATTCTTAAATCATGGTCCTTAAATGTTCCCTATTACTTCAAATGAGTGTATTCAACAATGTGTGGAATCAGTTGTTCCCTTACTGAAATTTCACAATCTGTCCAAACGTTTCACACAGAACAGAAAAACCTGTTTGGAAAACTTCCTGACCTTCGTTATAATGGCAGTTCTTGGTTGTCAACTTGACTACATCTGGATTTAACTAAACTGGGCACAACAGTCAAGAATTTTTTTTCTTAACTAATTCATTTGAAGTGGGAAGATCAACCATTAATCTGGGCCACACCTTTTGGTGGCAGCATATAAAGGACTTGGGAAAAGGAAACTTTCGTTTTGTCTTCTTGCTCTTGCTGGCAAGTCTATTCCTTCACTGGCATTACAGCCTACTTTGGGATTCTGGAGTATACTGAAAATCAAATGGATTCTTAGACCTTCCATTGGTAGACAGCTGAACTAGCTGGACCACAGCAAGCCTTGCTAATAAACCCCCATTGTACACATTTATTCTCTAAACTTGGTCCCTTTAGAGAGCCCTAACTAACACATTCACCTTCCAAATCTGTTCCAGTGCCTAGGCACACAAATCCTGACAACACTTACCTTCTGAGAGTCTTTCCTTCCAGCCCTGAGCTGCAGAGGTGAAGAACTCATTGTTAAGGGCTGAGCCACTCAATTTCATCAACCCATCTGGACCAACCTAGAACAAAGAGCAAGCCAGGGAAAATGTGCAAAGAAAAGGTATGATATTCACCTCATGTTTATATGTGTACAAAGGTCAATCCTATAGAAATGTGGTGTCCGGCACTGGGGAGACAGGGGCACCTCTGAATTAGAGGCCAGTCTAGTCTACAGAGTGAGTTCCAGGACAGCCAAGGCTACACAGAAAAACCCTGCCTTTAAAAATTAATTAATTAATTAATTAAAAACACAACAAAGACACCCACTCAAACATGGTTAGTTCATTTTTTTTACTGCTGTTTTTTTAAACCATATTATTTTTTCCATTAAAAAAAAACTAACAAAAACATTCTTTTCTCATGTATCTCTTCTCCGTTCTGTTTTCAGCTCCATTCCACAATGATGGAAAAAATATTCCTCACTGAATAATATTTAAATAAACGTATGTTTTCTTCTGAACAGAATTTATTATCTTCTTAACAGATCTGGGTTCAAATGATACATAACACTCTAGCTTTCTCACAGAGTACAATGTCTTCAAGTCAACTGGTATATATTTAGCTTCTCTGAAACTGCTGCTTATTATTTCATGGGTTTAAATTAATGGTAAACATGCACGTTGTTACCAATGCTTTCCCATAATCAACAAAGCTGCAACAAACATCCTGGCAGATGAATACATTTATTGTTTTATTTCTTTGTTTGAAACAGGGTATTGTTATGTAACCCAGGCTGGCCTTGAACTCACAGAAGTCTGCCTCCTAAGGGCTGGGATTAAAGGAATATGCCATCTTGTCTAGCTGTACTAGTGATTTTCTTCTCCCTACCCCCCAAGGCAGGGTTTCTCTGTGTAACTGCCAAGGTGTCCTGAAATTCAAAAAGACTGACTCTGCCGCCTGAGTGCTGGGAATAAAGGCGGGTGCCACCACACCCAGCTATTTCTAAGGTTGCACTCCTAGATCAAAATACAAGTAGTATGTAAGAAGATATTTATACTACTTTCTGAAAAGGCTGAAGCTACAAACAATATATGAACATACAATTTGCTTTTCCTTGCAAACATGCATCAACGCGTAATTTAATTTTTGTCAACATGGTAGGGTTGAAACGGTTGACGATTTCCTGACTCCTGTGTACCCTGCTGTTGCTGCATGGTTATTAAACATGGAGGTCTGTGATGGTTCTCATCGCCTTCTTAGTTTTCTATTTGGCTGCAGTTTTATCAAACTGTGAGACATGGTTACTAATGTATTTCCCTCCATATGTCTACTGAATTCATTTCTGATGCTTTGTTACAAGGCTTAAATTCTTTTTTTTCGGTAGGCTAGAGATGTATCTCAAGGATAGAGTACAAAATACTGGGAGACAAAATTTCTTATGTTTGTATTATGTAATATTTTGTTTGTGTTCTGACAAGTAAAGCTTACCTGGAGATCATAGGGCAGAGCTAGCTACTAGTTAACCATAGAAGCTGGTCAGAGATGGCTCATACCTTTGATCACAGTACTAAGGAGGTGGAGACAGGAAGTAATAAGGTGGGGTGGAGATAGGATTTCACCCCTTTTGGACCGAGGAACACTAGAGGAAGGAAGCAACTGGCTGCTGCTCCTGGTACTCCTGGATTAACAGTTCATATCTGTGTACGTGTTCACCCAGAATGTGCCATGACATCTGTGTAGAGGTCAGCTCTCTCCCTGCACTGTGGTGAGTCCTAGGGTTCAACTCAGGTTGTTAGGTTTGACTGTAAATTCTTTTACCCACTAAACCACAGGCCATGTGAAAATTTTTAATGGAAAAAAAAAATTTCTAAATCTATATATCTAAAATATACAGGAAAAAGTGTTACTCAAATCTTGTACAAAAATACTCTTGTTTATAAGCCTGATGGTGGTGGCATACACTTTAATCCCAGTAGTAGAAAGGAAGAGGCAAGCGGGGTTTCTCCCAATTCAAGGCCAGTCTGGTCTATAGAACTAGTTCCAGGAATGGCTCCAAAGCCACACAGAAAAATCCTATCTTGACAAACTAAAACAAACAAACAAAACCTTTATTTACAATACTTTCAACATAAACATTATCCACATTGAAAATATATGGTAACTTAAAGTACAAATTCACTTAATCTACTCAATATCATTCATGTTGTTTATTGAATCCATAGCTCAAAGACTGACCAACTAGCTTCCTATCAAAAGTACACACAAACAAACTAACATTGTGGGAATGCCAATCTGGGTGAATTTGAACTAGAAAAATACTAGGGTCCCTTTTTTGAAAACTACACATGGCAGGAGATAGAAAAAGATGGCTAGTGGTTAAGAGCACTTTTTGCTCTTTCAGAGGACACGGGTTTGGTTCCCAGCTCCCACATGGCAGCTTTGCACCATCATAATTCAGGGTGCTCTTCTGGCCATCTCAGGCATCAGGCACACATACACTGCACATACATGCATGCAAAACATCATAAACATAAAATCAAAAAACCCTTTAATACCATCACTACAACAACAAACCAGCTGTGGCAACCTTCTTGCAGAAAGCAGAAAGGGTCAGCAGTGCATCTGAGAAACCAACATCAGACCTCCACAAATAGGTAGTAGTCATGGTTCATATATTACTAGCCTATTATCCTGCCAACAATTCTTCTTGGAGGGTGGGAACAACACAAAACAGGACACGAAAACGTCCACAACAAGAAAAGAGACACGACAACACCAGGTCTTTAAAAACATGCTGAAGCTTCAGTCTTCCACCAAGAATTAACTTAGATGAATATCCTCCAAAGTAATTTTTTTTCTTGAAAGAGATACAGCAGAGAATGCAACCATTAGGAACAGCTCTCCTTTAATCCCTACAGCTGGAGAAATAACTGATTGTCTGATCATCCAAAAGGACTCTTCACACATGCTAATTACAGCACTAAGAAAGCAAGTCTCAGAGAAAACACTTAGTGAACGCCTTTAATCCCAAAACTCAGGAGGCAGGGGCAAGCAGATCTGAGTTTTAGGGTAGACTGATCTACAGAGCAAGTTACAGGACAGCCTGGGCTACAAAGAGAAATCCTGTCTCAAAAACAAGAAAAGGGAAAAAAAAGAACAAGAATGTCTTCAATTTGATTTGGTTGTCAACTAGCCATAATGATTTGTGCAGCTTACCCTTTTTTTTTATATAATATTTATTTATTATGTATACAATATTCTGTCTGTGTGTATGCCTGCAGGCCAGAAGAGGGCACCAGACCTCATTACAGATGGTTGTGAGCCACNTGTGTATGCCTGCAGGCCAGAAGAGGGCACCAGACCTCATTACAGATGGTTGTGAGCCACCATGTGGTTGCTGGGAATTGAACTCAGGACCTTTGGAAGAGCAGGCAATGCTCTTAACCTCTGAGCCATCTCTCCAGCCCAGCAGCTTACCTTTTAAGTCTCTTCCTATAAATGAGGCAACAAAGATAGTCTGCTATTAAACACTAGGGAAAAGGCCTGCCTTTCATACTGAGTTTGTTTTAAGTTTTTCTTTTTTTAATTGGTGGTACCTTATCTGGTATGTTTGTTCACAGCACATAAAAAGATACTTTTAAAAAGCTTGAGAACTAGGCTGGCAGTGGTGGTGCACTTTAATCCCAGCACTGTGGGAGGCAGAGGCGGGTGGATCTCTGTGAGTTCGAGGCCAGCCTGGTCTACAAGAGCTAGTTCCAGGACAGGTACCAAAAGCTACAGAGAAACCCTGTCTCGAAAACCAAAAAATAAACAAATAAATAAATAAACAAACAAATAAATAAATAAATAAAATCTTGAGAACTAGGCATGCTTGCCTAGCACACACAAAGCCCTGCATTTTATCTCTAGCAACACATGTAATTGACATGGTAACACACATTATAACCCTACACTCGGGAAGTAAACGAGTAAAGAGTGTAAGCCTCAGCTACACAGTAAGTTTAAGTCCTGCCTAGAATACATAAGGTTCTATCTTGAAATCTTAATGGAGTCCTAAAGGTGATGAATGCCAGAAACCTCATTTAATCAGAAAACCCCCTGTGCTTGACATAACGCACCTGTCGATCCACCTCTGGAAGCAGTAAAAGCAGGCGCTGCTGGCAATCTCCAGGAAGAAGTGAAAAGGTGTGCTTGTTAATTAGTGCGCGAAGATTAGTATTAACCAGAATGGAGTCGGGGGTCTCAACATCAATGTCAGCACATTTAGTCCTTTTCATTTGTCCTACGAAAAGTAGAAAACAGTAATTCATCACATAGCTTATCTAAAGTAAAAAAGAAAGAAAATCAAAATTTAATAGTACACTTTGAAGAAATGAGAATTAAAGATCTCAGAAATGTAGGTCCCTCCCCCGACAGACAGGGTTTCTCTGTAGATTTGGAGTCTATCCTGGAACTCGCTTTTGTAGACCAGGCTGGTCTGAACTCAGAGATCAGCCTCCTTCTGCCTCCAGAGTGCTGGGATTAAAGGCGTGCGCCACCCATCACCAAGCCCACTATCACACTTTCTTTATGAGAAATGACAAATATGAAGAATATTTCCTTTTCTTGAAACAGAAAATCTGGCTGAGGAGATGGAACTATGGGTAGTGGGTAAAAAGACTTGACATGTAAACATAAGAATCTCAATTGCAGTATCCAGAACCTATTTAAAAGCTGGGTGTGGTAAGGTGTCTATCATCCCATGGCTCCTATAGAAAGATAGGCATTAAAACAGGAAGCTCACGGGCCAGCCAACCTGTGTTTGCAGTGGCAAACGGTAGAGACCTTGCCTCACCACTAATTAGACTTGGTGTGTTTGAGAGGGGAAAAAAAAAAAAGGAAGCCATAAAATTGGGAGGGAAAAGTGTTAAAGGGTGACCAAGGGAAAGTTGGAGGGTCAACAGGATAGAAAGAATAAAAATATATGTATTTATATAAGTCTCAAATGAATAAATAAGAGGCGTGAGCCTTAAACAATGCAGATGGTAAGGACCATCACTTCAAACTTTCCTCTGACCTCCATATAGGCACTATGATACATACATGTTCACACATATGTACACAATCTTAACTAACACACATACACACACAGAGGACACTGAAAGACTTTTAAATAGAAAATCCAAGCCAGATGTGAGGGTACATGCTTGTAATCCCAACATTTAAAAGGCAGAGGCAGAAATACCTGAAGTTCAAGGCAACCCTGAATACCAAGTTAGCATGAGCTGCATTTTTGTTTAAAAAAAAAAAAGCAACAACTTGAAATATACACACATAGATTTGAGTACACAAAGATTAGTAGTACTAATTATATGCAGTGTTTTGGTTTTGTACATTTTTATACATTTTACTATTTTCACTGAATCTCATTTTTATCTTGCTATCTTCCATCTTTCCATCATTAGTTCTCATTTCGTAAATTAAATCTTGCAATAAAATTTGGGATTAAAAAATAAAAATGCAACTTAATGCAAATAAAAACTGGTTTCTATTTTTAAAAAAGGCAAACATAGTAATAAAGGAAAGGACGTATGTAGAAATACAGAAAAAAATTTAAATATTTCTGGTGGAACTGAAATTTATGCCATAATCTTAAAGAGAACTTGTAATACTTAAGAAATTTAAAACATTGTGTGTACATTTGTGTGTTGGAGGGTATAAGCCACAGAGCGTATATGGAGGTCGGGGACAACTTTCACAAGTTGATTCTCTCCTTCTACCATTTGGATGCTAGGGGTCAAATTTAGGTTGTCGGTCTTGGCAGCAAGTGTTCTTAGACGCTGAGTCATTTACCTGGCCCCTGACAAACTTATACACTTGTATAGAGATATTTCTTCAATCCTTGGTGTAAGTACCCACTAGCTCCTGGCTGAAGTACAAGGAAAGTCACTCTCAGGAAAGAATTTTCCTCAAATCAGGCCCTCAGGAGTCCTAGAAATTAAAACCCAACACAATCACAAAAATTATCCACTAAATTATAAAGAATGCCACTATGAATGTCATTAGAATTCAGAAACAACAGATTTATACTTAGACTTATCTGGAAAACATAATACAGAGTAGCTATTTCTAAATACATCAAGAAATAGCAAATGGAAACAACAATCAAGAACAAACAGACTGCTGGGCGATGGTGGCGCATGCCTTTAATCCCAGCACTCGTGAGGCAGAGGCAGGCGGATCTCTGTGAGTTCGAGACCAGCCTGGTCTACAGAGCTAGTTCCAGGACAGGCTCCAAAGCCACAGAGAAACCCTGTCTCGAAATCCCCCTCCCCCAAAAGAACAAACAGACCTTAAAAAGAAGCAGGACTAGTATAGCAGCTAACACCTGTGACCCCAGCACTTGGACAATAAAAGCATGAAGATCATTAAGGTTTTCCCGCCACTGCATGGCGAACTCAAGGCCTGGCCATATCCCACACATACAGAGAGAGACTTAAGAGACTGGGGGAAAGGGAGCTAGCTAGTTCCAGGCACCAAAACTACAGAGAAACCCTGTCTCGAAAAAACCAATAAATAAATAAATAATAAAAATAATTTTAAAAAAAGATAATGAGAAAGGGCAAAATTTAAATAAGTTTTAATAAATGTCTCTCAAAAAAAAACCCCAGCAATATCAAAGATGAATAACAGAAATCAGGCACAGAGGTGTTCATTTATAACCCCAACAATTGACGTGGCATTTGGGCAAAGCTGTGGCCTAACAAACAGAAAAGGATTTTTACCATCTATACATCTGATAAAGGGCTAATACCCAAAATATAATCAAGACACTTGATTTAAAAAAAAAAAAAGGCAACCTATCTGGGCAGTGGTGGCAAATACCTTTAATCTCAGTTATTGGAAATCAAAGGCAGGTGGGTCTCTGTGAGTTCCAGGCCAGCCTGGCTTACAGAGTGAGTTCAAGAGCAGCCAAGGATACACAAAGAAATTGTCTTGAAAATCCAAACTAGACCAAACCAAAAAATAACCCAAATGGCCCCCAAAGGGAATGGCACTGTTAGGAGGTGAGGCCTTGTGGATGAAGTATGTCACCGTAGGGGTGGGCTTTGAGGTCTCTTGTTTAAGTTTCCCCCAGTGACTATTCAGATGATTTCCTGTAGCCTGCAAGACTCTCAGCTACCTGCACGCTGCCATCTCCCTGTTGTAATGATACTGAACTGAACCTTTGAAATTGTAAGCAAGCTGCCCGATTAAATATTTCCTTTTGCTGTGGTCGTGGTGTCTCTTCACAGCAATAAAAACCCTAAGACAAAATCTAAACAGAAAATTCTCAATAAAGACAGAGGCTGAGAAACATTTAAACGTTCAATATCCTTAGCCATCAAGGAAATGAAAACCAAAACTACTTTGGGATTCCACCTTACACCTGTCAGAATGGTTAAGATCAATAATACAAGTGACAACTCTCACTGGTGAGGATGTGGAATTAGGGAAATACTCATCCATTGCTGGTGGGAGAGCACTTATATAGCCACTGTGGAAATCAGTGTGGTGGCTCCTCAGAAAGTTGGAAATCAACCTAACTCAGATCTAACTGTATCATTCTTTGGACATGTACCCAAAGGATGCTCTATCCTACCACAGAGATACTTGCTCAACCATGCTCATGATAACGCTATTTAAAGTAGCGATAAATCGGAAAACACCTAGATGTCCCTCAACAGAATGGATAAAGAAAATGTGAGACATTTATACAATGGAGTATTACTCAGCTCTTAAAAAAAAAAGTGTGTGGTGGGGGAGAGGGCAGAAGGTGCTGGAAGTGCTCGCTCTCTGCGGGGGACCAGAACACGGCCTCTTGCCCCCTCCCTCCAGTTAGCACTGCAGTTGGTGCAGCTGCCCCAGGCTGCCCTGCGAGATGTCCTGTAACTGGAGGTGGGAGGTGCGCTGAGTCCTGAAGACAGACAGACACACACACAGCCGGGCATTGATGGTAACGTATTCGAGGAAACAGCAGAGACTCAGCGATGGCTGTCACAACTGGGAGACTCTCAGCCTTTCCACGTTCTTTAAGTATTCGTCAAAGAGTCACCCCAGTAGTGGTGATCACAGACATGAAAAGATGCGAGACATGGCAGATCCTTCACCACCGAATAAAATGTTGCGGAGATCTATCTGACAGTCCTGAAAACAAATACAGTGACATCACAGGTCACAGCAAGGCCAAAAATGTGCATACTCAAAGAGTTAGAGAAAGGGAAGGTGGGACCAGTTACTCGCCACAAGAAAATTTACACAACCACAGTGCTCTTCATAGTTCAAATTCACATTTTTCTAATTCAAGCAATAATCCAAGCAAAACTTCAGATGCACCTTATGATTCTACAGATGACCAGTCTGAGCATGTTAGCTCTTCTGGGAAAAATATTACTACAATTGCCGCACAGAAGTATCACAGTGGGAAAAACCAAAAGTGTGGCTTGAAAGAGAACAGAGACAAAAAGAAGCAAATAAGTTGGCAGTTAATTGTTTCCCAAAAGATAGGCATTACAGAAGAGGTGATGCAAGCAACAGCCACCAGTGGGTTCCCCAGGGGGATGGAAGACAAGCATTCCAGCGATGCCAGCAGTTTGCTCCCACAGAATATTTTGTCTCAAACAAGCAGACACAATGACAAAGACTACAGACTGCCAAGAGCAGAGACTCACAGGAGCTCTACACCAGTGGCTCACCCAACCACTACCCCAGCACTGTTCCTTCTAGTCCATTAGCACTTCAGTCTGATCACCAGCCAAAGAAATCATTTGATGCCAATGGAGCACCTACTCTATCAGAACTGCCAACATCCACAGCTCCTGTCCCTGCACAGAAAACAGAAAGAATCTGCTCCAGGAGACAAATCAATATCACATTCTTGCACAACTCCTTCCACATCTTCACCTCCAACATCTGCTTCAAAAGTACCTGTTTCACAATCACCAATATCTCCTTTACTTCAGGACCCAAATCTTAGACAGTTGCTTCTTGCTTTACAAGCCATGCTACCTACAGTTTAATAATTCTAATGTGGATATATCCAAAATAAATGAAATTCTTACAGCAGCTTTCCTGCAGTCTGTCATCCACAAGTTTCTTACTGCTGGACCATCTGCCTTCAACATCACCTCTCTGATTTCTCAAGTAGCCCAGCTCTCTACACAAGCCCAGCCATCTAATCAGTCTCCAAGGTCTCTAACATCCAATGCCTCATCCCCAAGATCCTTATGTGTTTCCAAGAATAAGCACACCTCAGACTAACACAGTCCCTATCAAACCTTTGATTAGTACTCCACCTGTTTCATCACAGCCAAAGGTTAGTACTCCAGTAGTTAAGCAAGGACTGGTGTCACAGTCAGCCACACAGTAGCCTGTAACTGCTGACAAGCAGCAGGGCCGTGAGCCTGTGTCTCCTTGAAGTCTTCAGCGCTTAAGCAGCCAGATAAGCCCATCACCTGGTCCAAATCATACTTCCAGTAGTAATGTATCAAATGCAACAGTTGTACCACAGAATATATCTGCTCGGCCTACGTGTTCATTAACACTTACACTAGCAGCATACTTCAATGATAATCTCATAAAACATGTTCAAGGGTGGCCTGTGGACCATGCAGAAAAACAGGCATCAAGATTGCATGAAGAAGCCCATAATATGGGAAGTGTTCAGAAATATATACTGAATTAAAAAATTAGTTCGAGCATGTGAAATTCAAGCAACTTTGCGAGAGCGGAGGATATTGTTTTGGGGACAACAAATAAAGGAACTCGAAAAGCTAGAAATCAGAATTCCTTCATGGTTAGAAGATGTGAATAATTGCACATGATATCCTACAGGAACTGTAAATCTCTTGCCCAGTCATAACATTGAGCTGCATTAAGTGGACCTTTAAGCTGGGCAAATGAAATAACAAGGAGACAGGAATCTGTGATAGTCAACTCAGGGGACAAATACAAGACTGATTTGTAAAATCCTTGAAATGTAGATTTCTTGTAGACGTATCTTCATGTTGTAAGTATGTTTTGTAGAGTGAAGCCACAGGAAGCCATGTATAACAGAGCTTAGACATCCAAAACTAATCAATGCCAAGGTGGCTAAATGCCTAGCCTTTTACATGAAAACCCGTCTGCAAAATTAAAAAAAAGAAAAAATTTGGGGAGTTAATTTATCATTCAGAAATCTTACATTTTCAAAAATCCAGTGCAAGCGCCAGGCGATCTGTGTCTAAGGATACAATTTTGGGCAGTGTACAAATATCCTGAGACAACTGTTCCGCACTTGGACCTGATCAGGAGCAGTGCTGCTCCATTTGTTCTGTGCAAAATAAAATACAAGTTCTAGTACATTAGATTAGCAAAAGCAAAAAATAGTAAGATCAGAGACTATCAAAAAGAATTAAAAATACCAGCCAATTAAATACTGTTTACAGAGAAATATACAAGCACAAGGGCACACAAATAAATAGGCATACCAGGCGAAATCTAACCAAACAAAACACTTATCAGTGATTGATAAAGTAAATAATAATGAGGAATTCATCAGGAAGAACTTACTTTACTTTTGTGGCTAGGATCTTGCTATATACATACACGGCAGGCCTAGTATATAATTCAGGCTGAACTGTAAGTGACCAATAGATCAACTTAAACAAGAAAACATTTAACACAAAATAGCTTTAAATACCTAAAGGCTAGTGCAGAGTGGTTCATGTCTATAACCCCAACATCTAGAATGCTGAGGGAGGAGGATCACAAGCTCAAAGCTAGGCTAAGACACTTCTCTTACACACAAATCATGTGTTTGTGTGAGGCTGACGGCCACAACGGGACAAGTCCTCACACAGAGCAGATTTTAGCATATCTTGTGCAATCATTAACCAAGCTTACCCAAACCAAACATTCAAAAGGATGCACTGCTGCATGGTGGTGGCACACATCTTTAATCCCAGAACTCAGGAGGCAGGCAGGTGGATCTCTGAGTTTGCCACCTGGTATTCAGAGTAAGTTCCAGGACAGCCAAAGATACACAGAGAAATTTTGTCTCAAAAAATCCAAAACAAAAAAACAAAAAACAAAACAAAAAAAAAACACCAAGCATTATTTTTAATTTAAAAAATTTAAATTATGTGTATGCACGTGTTTGTGTGTGCATGAGTACAGGAGAAGCCAGAGGAGGGAATTAGGTCCCTGAGAGCTGGAGTACTTTGAAAGTAGTGAGATGAGTTGGGAGCCGAACTCTGAAAAAGCAGTATAGGCTCTCAACTCCTAAGCCATCACTTCAATCACTTTGACCACAGGGTTCATTATATTAGAATAATAACCTTGAATCAATATATTCAGAATTCACTGAACAAGCAGGACTTCAAGCCTAGAAGAGAACTTCTCTGTGTATTTCAAATAATGCCAATAGTAATGATTACCACAGTAACTGCAGTTGCAAACTTATGAAGGGTTACTAGGTGCCAGGCACTATTCTGAGTATTTATTTCTATGAACTTGCTCACAGGCAGATCTCTGTGAGGTTGAGGCCAGCCTGGTCTACAAGAGCTAGTTCCAGGACAGCTAGGACTATTACACAGAAAAACCCTGTCTCAAAACAACAACAACAACAAGAAAATGACAGAGAAAAAAAACAGAAAAGAAATTATGCCTGACTTTTTAAAATAAAATTAAAAATTTACAATAAACTCAAGCAAGTAGCTGATGAATTTTAAGCATACTGTGAACACATCGCTGCACTGAGAACGTAGTCTTTGTAAACTAACTTACTTGTGTGGAGTCTGTCAGACCTCTGGAAAGACTTCTTCCCCAAGCCTAGAAGAGAACTGTCCACTTTCACTGAGGAAGAAAAGCTGGAGTTTGAGTTCTGGGGACTGCTTGACTGTCCATCAGATTGCTTTCCTTCCCATAGGGCTAGGAGAAAAAAATATTGAAGATGGGTAACACTGGGATTCATAAACAAAAGTCCACCAAGGGGCTAGCAAGACAGCTGTACCAACCCCGACAGCCTGACTTATCACATGTAGAAGAAAAGTGACTCCTTCAAGTCAGCCCCAGACTTCCACATGCAGTTGCTCCCCAGATAACAATAAACCTAATAATTAATAAGATAAAATAAAAACATTCAGACCATTATTCTATGGAAATAAATGAAGAAATGTAGGCCTCTTGAAGCTTTATACATAAAATCCATTACATCTTCTCTCACATTATTTATCTCTAGTCACAAATGCTTTTCTAACAAAAATGAAAATATCTCCAAGACTCAGACCACTGACTTTTAGTTAAGGTAGTCGCTAGAATCAGCTTATGATATTCAGGTGAATTATATAATGCAAAACAAAGTCTGTGGCAAAACAAAGTCAAAAACAAAAACAACAACAAATACCAAGTTTATGTAAACATAGCCAACAGAAATTAAAGAGTAGATATTTTTAGAAAGCCTACATAGTTAATTTTTAATTTTATGTTTAAATTTTTTTTGATTTTGTATATGAGTGTTTTGCTTGCATGTATGTTATTGCCCCACCAGAATGCTCAGTGTCCTTAGACACCAGAAGATGAAATCAGATCAGTACACATTCTTACTGACTGAGCCATTTCTCCAGCCCCATCTTCATATTTTAAATGAGAGCATTTAAAATGTAACAAGTTCACTTTGAGGCTGCATGGAAAGCTAAGTCAAAAAAACCTACTTGTTGCATGCATTTGCCTAAGGACCAAGTTTCTCTGTATAGCCTTGGCTGTCCTTGCCTCTGCCTCCCATTGCTGAGATTGAAGGTTTGCACACCACCTTATCCTAGGATCTATATCAGTTTTGTGGCAGCAGAAAGATAATGCTAGGAAAAGAACAATTTAAAAATAGACAGTACAGTAAAATAACTTATAATATCAAAATTTCAGATAAGCTGGGAGAAAAAAAATTCCACTGGGGAGGGGAGATGAGACTGCCTACCGGGTTTGGCAGGTAGAGAGTCACTGGCTGCTTTGACAGTCTTAAGAGAGAGGTGTTGATTGGAGATGGACATGCTTGACCTGCATTGCTGCTGTTGCTGCTTCTTCTGTTGTTGCTGCTTCAGTGCCTATAAAGAAAAACTGGCAGTAAGAAATAAGCAAACCGGTTTACAGTAAAAGTGAGTGGCATCAGTTATGGCGAGAACTTACTCTGACATCTATTCAATACGAAAAAAACCCTAAATTTAACAAAACTGACACAAGGACTAAGTGACCTACAGAATTTGGGTACTTTGGGGGGAGGCCAAGATTATTCCATTATATGTAGCTGTAAGAAAAAAAATCATTAATTTTTTTTCAGAACTTAAAAATCAGCAGTAAGGCAAGGAAATTACAATCTTCTTATTAGAGAATTACATACTTTCATAATTTCTCAAAACAGAATTCTAAGTCATGTACCAGTAAGTTTAATTTGCACTAATTCTATGAAAAAGGCAATTATCTGTATTATTTATGACTCACAGACCTTACATTTTAATAAGTATTTAAATTACCCTGAGTAAGAGCAAAGAGACTTGCCTAAATGATAATGTCTTAGTTACTTACAGCAATGAAATAAAGAGTGGAAAGGACACTGTAATGTAGGTTCTGATAACAACAGTTAGTTGCTTCTGGACATTGTAGGTCATTTTTCTTCTTTTAATAGAGGTAGCATGATATTATTTAGAATGACCATTAAAAAAAGAAAGGCCTGTGAGATGGCTCAATGGGTAAAAGCACCAATCTCCAAACCCAGATATCAGAGTTGGATCCCTAGGACCCAAAGTAGAAGAAAAGTGGCTCCCAAAAGTTGTTCTCTGACCTCCACGTGCTAAGGCACAGACACTCACACAAAACGAAAAGAATTCACTAACAAAAATTCCCTCTTCCAAATCTTACAAATTGGATTTAAACTGTGGAGACATGAACATGCACCCATATTCGTGTGCCCATATACATGGAGACAAGTAAACAGCCATACTCACGGGTATAGTGTAGAGACGTAAACATGCACCCACATCCGCTTACGTACATATAAAGTATGGAGACATGAATGTGCATCCACATCAGTGCAACCACAGATATGGAGACATATATACATACACGTGATCCACACACACACACACACACACACACACACACACACACACACGGATAAAAAGGGCTGGGGAGATGGCTCAGCAGGTAAGGACACTTCTTGCTCTTGCAGAGAATGCACGTTCAATTCCCAACGTCACTATGGCAGATCACAACTGTGTGTGTGGCCATTGGTCCTGGTCCTGCAAACAACTTGTAATAAAAGAACTTTTAAATACTTTAAATTTCACATAATTTAAAATGTTTATGGATTCTGAGCCAGGAATTATGACACACATCCTAAATCGGGAGGCAGAGGCAGGAGAATCTCTGTGAGTTTCAGAGCAGTCAGCACGATACAATAACACTCAGTCTCAAAAAATTTCAAATTGTGAGTTCTAATCACAAACATAAAAAACAACCTGTTTACTGACCAGGCTTCCAGATACTCTGATAGGATGGTTCAAAGAAAATCTGGGCCAACGGGTTAACCATTCAGCAATGGTCTTTCGTATTTATATATGTGTATTCATGGAGAACAAAAGTCAACATCAATGTCTTTTCTAACAGAGTCCTTCAATTTTCAAGGCAGGTTCTCTCACTATTCCCAGAGATCACTGCACTGATCCATCTTGACTAAATGGCCTATAATTCACAGAATTACCAATTCTGCATCCCTAGTCAGGTGATTACAGACAAAAAATGCCATGTATAACTTTTACATGGTTACTTGTACATGACCTACTGTGCCAACTGTGCAGCCTCTATCAGGGGTCCTTCTTTTAAAAGATTTTATGTGTATGTGTGTTTTGCCTCCGTGTCTGTATATTGTCTGCATGCAGTACCCAATGGGGCCAGCAGAGGTCACTGGATTCCTGGGACTGAAGTTATAGACAGTTACGGGATGATAACCAGTGAGCAAACAAACCAGGTCCTTTGGAAGATCTGCCAGAGCTCTTAACCCTTGAGCCATCTCTCCAGACCCTAAAACATTTTAAGATTCAATTGCTTAATTTTATGCATGTATCTAAGTATGTGACATGTTTGTGCATGTCTCTGCAGAGGTGAAAATGAATCAGACCACTGGAATTGAAGCTAAACTATAAGTAATCTGATACAGGTTCTGAAAACCAAACCCAGGTCTTCTATTAGAGGAGAAAACACTCTTAATCAACGAGCCATTATCTCCAAACCCTTTATTTTTATATTAGTTCTAGGTAAGGTATGTGTTTGTGCCCTGACGACACCACCTGTTAGGATCAGCAGAGGACTATGAATCCCTGAGCTAAAAAGGGATAAGCAATCGTCAGCCCATTGTGGGCACTGGGAACTGAAATTGTGTCTTCTGTTAGAGCAGCATCCTTTTGGTGATTTCTTCATCTCTTAACTGCATAGAACAACCTTTTACAGCATAAGCTTCTTATAAAGAAAAATGTTTCTACAACCCCCTAACTGATTTATCTTAGACAGATGTGAATAAATATGTGCAGTATCTACATATAACATATAATATATAAATTAGGCCTCATTTTTACTATTACAAACTTTTATACAAATATTTTTATGTGTATCTTTCTATAACATGAATTAAAATGTTTAATTGAATGTTCTCAGAGCATGTACATTTAAAATTTAATAGATAGTGTAAAATTTTCTTCAATAAGGTTATAGTGGCTGGGGATATAGCTCAGAGGCAGAGTACTTGCCTACCATTCACGGTCCTTCATTCAGTCATTCATACTTAATGATTAAATGTTTTTTACTATAGTATATCAATACAGAAGCAACAATTTTCACCATACTTGTCATTTCTGATTATAATAAAATTTCTTACTCATACCAAATCATGAGAATAAAAATGGTGTTATTCAAAGTTTTCCTAGTTACTTGTAAATTTGTATTTATTGATCACTTGCTGCTTCTTGGAGGGAGCTGCTAGGCAGTCCCTTGCTCTATAACCCAGGGTGCCTTGAAATTAGGATCTTCCTGCCTGAGCTTCCTGAGTACTAGGATTATATGACTACCACACTTCCTCTTCCTCCCAGCATTCTGTTCTGTTTACTCCACCCACCTATGTTCTAACCTATCAGGGCCAAGCAGTTTCTTTATTAATTAACCAATGACCTTCCTCCATCAGTGAACCACCACATGGCTCATTTTACCAAGACAGGATCTCTCTGTGAAGCTGTCATTCTGTAGACTGGGCTAACCTCTGCCTCTTGAATGTTGAGATTATAAAGCACATACCACCACCGCTTGGCTTTCATAACTATTTTTAACTGGAAAGATTATTTTTCTGATAAAGACAGACTTAACAATTACCTGCTTTAATGCCTTCTTGCTGTGCTTCTGTGATGGAGAAATCACTTTACTTGCTGGAATGGTGGGTGATGGGCAGCCCGATTGGGGAGAGGATGGCTGTGACAGTCTAGATGATACTAGAGGAAAATTGACAAGGAAAAATTGTGTTATCAAGAGTTTTTATCAAGCACCACTCCTTCCCCAGATCATATGCTGCTACCTGTTAAGAACTGTGACCAAACACTTTAGGGAAGGTTCTTCTCTTTGGAGTTGTCCTGCAAACAGTCTCCCTTTTCACTTTAATTCCTCAGAAAGTTCTAGTGTAGGATGATAGGATGGGGAAGGGGTGAGTATTAGTATATATTACTTCTCATTGTAATATATTAGAAGTGATTAAAGAAGCAGGAAATCATATATAAATCATGTTATCAATTTAGAACTAGAAAAAGGTCTAAGGATCTCTGTAGTACCTACAGTCCTAAAGTAAACTGGACAGTAAATAATGAAAACACAACGTAGTGGAAAGTTGTGACAAAGTTTATATTGAAGACAATACTGCCATTTCCACTTCAAAATTCTTCCATTGTTTAACCCTGCTGGTCCTTACCTCATGTCACAAGTTTTAGGGATTTTCAAGATTTCTCTACTGGAAACAACCACTTACTTTCTATGTCATCATTATCTGTTTTGTATACACTACGTATACAAAATGAGTACATTTTAATGTTTATATGCATGCAATGCCTGGTATCCAGAGTACAGAAGAGGGTGTGGAATCCCCTGGAATGAATGACGTTAAAGAGAGTTATGAGGTGCCATGGGGGTGCTAGATATCAAACCTGGGCCCTGTGGAAGAGCAGCCAGTACTCTAGAGTGAACCATCTCTCCAGCCCCATTTATTTAAAAAAAAAAAAAAAAAGTGTGCGTGTGTGTGTGCGCGCGCGCACGCGCGTGCACATGCGTACATCTGAAGGCAGTGCCCATGGAAGTCAAAAGAGAGTATCAGATCCTCTAGTGATGGCAGCACTGTGAGCTGCCCAATGTGGATGCTGGGTACCAAACTCATGTCTTCTACAAGTCCAATGAATACATTTTGTTAGTTAAGGAGAAAGATAAAAATTATTGGTTCAGACAAACTCATGTGAGAGCAAGGAAATGCTATTTGAACCAGGAACAACCTAGAGATGACTCTTGAAGAAAACACAATGCCTAATGTCTTCTTTTAAAATACTTGACATGAAAGCATTTATAACAAAATAGTATTATATGGTTAAAACCATGAAGTATGTATCTATCGGATAAAAAAAATAAGAAATATACATACTAAAATATACAATGCCCAGAGTACAACATACCACATTACTCTCAAATGTCCTAATATTAATACAATTTAACTTTGGTTTTGTATCCTCATCTTCATAAATGTCATGTTTATGTATATGGAAGGAAATTGATATACAATCAGTTTGATGCTAAAATAATACAGAAAAAAAAACAAGCACTTATAATCTACTATTACAAAAATAATTAAGCTAAATAGTAAGAGATTGCTCAGAAGTAAACAACTGAGCAACAGAAAGAAAATATATCCTCAATGTATTAGATGTTGACAAATTATAAAATAAGAGGTAAAAGAAATTATGTTCATTAGCCTGTTGAAAGTGTACAATTCATATTTGCAAAACTATGAAACCATTACCACCATCAATTCATCATCCTGCCCCAAAGAGCACGTTTGTTAGCTGTCCACTGTTTTACACTTCCACTTTGCACCTAATCCTAGTTGACTACTTACCTCCTATTTGTCTCTATGGATCTATCTAAATTCTGTTTGATATGATGGAATAATATGCTTTTGTGTGTGAATTTGTTTTCAAATACCGAGGTCTTTTGAAGGTTCATTTATATTTTGACAAAAATACTTCATTTCATGATTGAATAATTAACCATTACATGCATATATCACATTTTGTTTATATTCACAAAATGGTGAATTTCTCACTTTTACTCAATAACAATATTGTGAATAACATTCTCTCTGTTTGTGTATATAATGGCAAGTGGGATTGCCCCTGCCTTTATTTTTTGAGAAATAGACTTACACTATAGCCTAAATTCACTTTGTAGTTTAACTTGTAGAAATTTTCCTGAGATTATAGGTGTGTACAAACCTGCTTGGTTCAGCTTCTTAAACATTCTTTCCTGCTCTCCCTCCTTTTGAATAACTCCACGTTTTGCTTATTTGTTTTTTGTGGGTTTTTTTCTTATTGGGTTTGCATGTTTGCTCTGACTTTTGCTTTTTTGTCTTCTGTGGTTTTCTGGGGGTGGGGGCGAATATGAAGCTGGGTGAGTAGGGAGGGTAAGATGATCTGGGAAGAGTTGGGGGGCTGGAAAGAAAATGATCAAAACGCATAGTATGACAAAGATTATCAAACAAAAACCCTTGGAATTAGGAAATCTGAATTCAAGTTTGTAAGTCACCTTATCTGTGGCTCTCCAATTTTTTGGATTCAATCCAGGAAAGAACTAGAGGGTTTTATGGTGATTCTGTGCTTAATTGTTTTTAGGAACTGCCAATCTGTTTTACAAAATGATTACAATTCCAGTAAGAATGCAAGACGGTTCCATTTTCTCTATATAACTGTGAGTATGTGTTGTTATGTCTTTTTTATTTGGTCACTGATATTATAGAGAACATATGAAAATACAAGGTTAAACTATTAATAGTCAACTGTTTTTTCTAAAGCCTTGCAAGAATTTCATAATATATATTTTCTCACTGGTTATAAACAGCAAACATCCAAAACAGCCCTACTAAAGAATCTAAGAATTATATTTCATTGTCTTAAAAAGATAAAGCTTTCATGTTACCTGGAAGGCTTTTCCGTAAGACAAATGCCTTTTCTAACAAAAAAATAAAACACAAACCTATCACTAAGCCACCTCAAATACATGGTGAAAATTATAGACCCCATCAGTAGGGGCTGAAATTATGCTAAGTTCTAGTCTCACCATCTATGAAACTTAGAACACTCTTCTTTTCAAATGCTAACGTCTCAGAACTTCAAAGAGTAAACATGATTTGTTGAGAAACCTCTCTTAATATTCTCTTCTATAACTGAGCAAACAAGTCTTTACATGTTTAACAAGATTTTGATCAACTCTTCTATCTTCTAACCAAGTATAAGTTCTATTTTCTAGTCAAAACTCCTAAAATTCTCTTTCAAAAGATAACTAAATCTAAATAACTAGGTTTGTATCATTACATTTTTTCTGTGTATATAATACAAAGATACATACTAGCTGCTGTGTATTTTGTCATTACCTATATTTACATATCAAAATAAAACTGATCTAGCTTGAGAAAAGATACAAACCAAGTATGGACCAAGGTCAAGAATTAAATCTTATTTTCAGAATAATGAATGAGCACCTGGATTAGATTGACAATGGTGACCAAAAAAAAAAAAAAAACACCATGTGCTTGTGTCCTAATTCTCAGAGCCCATGAACGTTGCTTTATTGGTGAAAGGGTTAATTTTGTGATTAAATTATCAAAATTGTGCAAATCAGTCTCAACAAAATATTTTTTATTTTTCAAAACAGGGTTTCAATTTATAGTCCTAGCTGTCAGAGAGATTCACCTTCCTCTGCCTCCTAAGCATTGATATCTAAGTGCGTGCCACCATATGCCACACAACAAACTAACTTCTGTTTGTCTTTCGAGACAGGGATTCTCTGTAGCTTTACAGCCTGTCCTGGCTCCACCATCACCGGTATAAGTTTTTTTTTTTTTTTTGGTTGTTTTTGTTTTTTCGAGACAGGTTTCTCTGTGGCTTTTGGAGCCTGTCCTGGAACTACCTCTGTAGACCAGGCTGGTCTCGAACTCACAGAGATCCGCCTGCCTCTGCCTCCCGAGTGCTGGGATTAAAGGCGTGTGCCACCATCGCCCGGCTCGGTACAAGTTTTTAAAGCATTAGTATAAACTTAGAGATATTTGAAACATATATTTGAAATGTATAAATAAAAACCAAGTCTGACGTGATGGCACATGCCTTCAATTCTATCACTTGGGAGACAGAAGCTTTCCTTTGCTTCTGGTTATCCTTACAGCTTCAGTACTAATAGTGCAGTCATCTTTAAAACAGGCTGTGCCTAAACCTTCACCTCAGCCACTAACAACAAGAAAATCTCCCAGAAATCTTTCAACCTAAAACTTTTGTCAAAGTTTTGTTTCCAGAATGCATTAAAACAAGAACCCAATCTTCCCCATTCAGTAACTTAGCACATAAAAAGATGATAGAGGGCTGGTGGATTTACAGTATTTTCTAGCTCCAGTTACCAAATTCCTGACTAAAAGAAAACAAGGAGTCCCTTACAATGAAAGGGAGTTTTTCACTAACTCATTTTTTTCCCTTAAAAATAGCAAGAGCAAAACCAAATCTCACAACTTTGCCTTACAACAAGATAAGAACTATATCCATGCAGCATCTTAAATCCCAGCCCTTGAGAGGCAGTGGCAGTAGGATCAATCAGTCAGTTAAAGGACAGCCTGGTCTATCTAAGTTCCAGCACAACCAGAGCTATGCAAAGAGACCCTATCTCCAAGGGAGGAAGAAGACACAATCAAAAACCAACTATCCATTAAGTTATTTACTATTACAGTATTTACAATACATTTTGAGGAAAAGACGGATTTCCCTCAGCTATGACCACAAAACAGTAAGAGATATAGTTGATCTTACTAATAGATTTTCTGACATTATTTCACCTTACCTTGAGTTGACATTCCATTAAGCTCTTCTCTGAACATGTTTCCTGTCTGAAAGCTAAGAACCAAAGCTACAAACTAGTAACTTCCTCTACTTTACATATAAATCAATAAAATAGATTCAATATTGGACTGAGTTTCTAAGTTCTAATCTGTTTCTACTTGGCTGAAAGGTATACTTATATCAAGAGTTCTATCAATTTTCGACTAAAAGCATCAGTTTTGCTGTCAGACCTCTATATTTTTGCACATAAAAAGGAAGTGGGTTTTGATACTATCTCAATGTTCTTCCTGTCTTATAATGCATTTGAAATAGTGATGTCAAACTGAGAGCTAAAGCCCTAAATAAGAAAAATGGACAGCCAC